AAGACTGCCTACAGGTAGCAAAGCTTGTTCAATAACTATTGGACCGTGTTTTAATATCTTTTGGACAGTGGAAATCATCGGATACCATTGATGCAAATGTACATAAAGTTGAACAGTTTCATTACAATATAATGAAAATTTTGCAATATCTATACCATATCCACTAGATATAACTTCCAGGATTGTTGCGAATCTGACTATTAGGTTTTATCGATACCAGTGATACGAGAAGATACGTCAACATTGCTAAAACATCTTTTGCTTAGATGTTTTCGAAGTAGCTTTACAGAAATAGCACCTCATAGTTGATGCACTCATCTTATGAGTGAAAAAGTATGATCAATTTCAGTTGCAGTTATTATGAAGTGACTGAAGTACCGGTAAGTTATGTTAAAATCACATTCATTTCAAGACTAGCGACTCTCTGCAACAAACACGCCAAATAATTGACTTTTAAAGCAAAAATGTCGCGAAACACCTTCAAAACTTTAGCGACCGTAACTTTCTGTCGATAACTGAAGCAGATTATCAATTTTTTCGAGAATCATATTATTCTCAGAATTCACAATGGGTTTCCAATGATAGTGTTGAATAAGTTTCGAAAACCAAATCCATTGATCTAAATTTTAGTCGTAGTATTCACACGTAGAAAAAAATCATCTATTTCGAAACCACTATGCTCTNATACCTAACCTATCCTAACATAACCTAACCTAACCAAACCTTACCTAAAAATGTTCTATTTATTATATTGTATGGCGGCGGCAACACTGTACGCTGGACGTCACGTAAAGTCAGAGACGTACAGTCAGACGTTAGAGTAAAGTGGAGGGGCTGGTTTCTAGCGACGCGATACCTACCTACGTTGAAGCCTTCGAAACAGAACTCCACGTCAGGAGCAGCTATCATCTGAGTGAAAGTCATCCCCGGTGTTGGTGGAACAAAAGCTCTTCACAAAGAAGGTGGGAAACCACCTTCCTATGTTCCACTTCCTCCAACAGTGTCTGTTTCCGAGGGGTTGCTAGTGTCAATAATGCCTTTCTTAACTAAGACACAATTCTGAACAGAAGTGAAATGGAAAATATAAGGCAATATTTTATGAATAGTATGGTAGTTTGTACTCACAGTGACTTCCTAGCAGCCAGTAGCATCAATATCCTATTAAGCCGGTGCTGTTTGGTAGTCAGCAGCACGTCTTGATCCAAAGGGTGATGAATACATCGTAGTTTGGCAGCTATTTGTCTCACTGTAGGCGTGTCAACGTGATCTCAGCCTCCATCTTGTGTACCCGCCGTTCAATCTTTCGAAGGGAATTTCGTTCTTTCGATTTGGGAAGCGATTAGTCGACGTCGTACAAGACGGTGTTGATTCGCCAGATTTCAGCCTCTTCTGTTAGAACAATATGAATCTTTGCTTCTAAACAAGCCAGTTCTTGTGGCCTCTGAAGCCTTTTATCTATAAACGATGCGTTAGGCAGACCATTCTCCCATAGCTCCTAAAGGTACCATAGCGTACCCTCAATGGACTCAATGGACTCAATGGACTCAATGGACAATGGACTCAATGGACCAATATTCAGCTTTCTGCATTCTGGATACAGTCTCCAAAGTTTCATAAGAAAATCAGTATTTCCTCCAATTTTCGTACCATATTTGCCTCATCCGGAGCTGAAAACTTCACGTCAGTTATCATCTTATTCCAATAGCCGAGAAGAATCAACGATGCTCAGTAGCTTCTATCAGCCTGAAGTTAAATTCTGGTGATACTGCATATATGACATTTCTTTAATAGGAAAAAAGAGGACGGAATTATTTTGACAATCATTGCTCTTAGAAAATTGGTATGCAGCTGTTTTTTCGAATATAAAACAATATTTTTATCAAATTAAATTATTGAAAGTGACAGCTAAAATCATTAGTTACTAAATTCACTTTCTGATACATTTGGGGCACAGTTCGTCCCTGATAATTCTCACCGCACTGGAGAAATACTTTTTGAATTTACATTTCGGCAGCACTTTCGCAATGTTTTTCAGGGATAACTGCAGGGCTTATTCTCAACCCTTAAATATGAAGTAATCGCGTAATCGGAATGTCTAGTAAAAAGTGAAACGATGATCTTGGGGCGAGATGTAATTTTTTTAATCTGGACCACCACCAATAAATAGCCCCAAAATGTCTGCGTATTGAGGTTTTTGGCAAAGTCCTTTTTACCAATAAAATGTCCTAATTATCTTTTTTTTATCCTTAAAAACGTCCTCTCGCTCATGTTCTTTCTCTTCGAAACAGTCGTTAGGTTTACTCTGAAACTCAAAATATGCATATTCGACTTCAACTTGAACTGAATTGATTTGTATCAACGGATTTAAGTTAGCTTGTATGATCGAAATTATAGAAGATAATTCAAACAAATTGTGTCTTTTCTTTTGATGAAAATATTACGATTGAAATAATCTTTCACATAACGAATTATTACCTAAATAATACTTTTGCAACAGCCATTTTATTTTTGTACAACTGTCAGATAAACATAACATTTCTGCATATCTATTGATGCATAAATATTTTCGTTTTTACCGTTAAAAAAGGTATTTTTTTTCACAGTGAAAAAACTTTTTTCCTGTCACAATTATTTACAAAATAAACATGAACGATTTCTTTTCAACAGAGTCAATTAATAATTGATTATTCAACATAAAACAATTTCATTTATTGGAATAATCATTTATAATAAAGTTTGTATAATTACTTCCAATATAATTTCCTGAAGATGTTCCATGTTACTGCTGATCATCTTCATCTGCTGATATCATCCCTTGATAAAACTTTAGATTTCTTTCCTCGGTATCCAACGATTTTGTTCTTAATGAGCGGGACCAATTTTGAAAACTTCCTGTCATCAATATTTTCCTTAACATTCAATATATTTTTCAACATTGAATAGACACTCCATAATGTAGGAGTTTTCATAATTTTTTCTCAAAATAGCATATGAGCACATTTTCAGAAACCTTTTTTACATTTTTCTTGTCGCAACACTTACAAAATTGGTCATATATTTTCTCATATACTAACTTGGATTTGGCCAGTAACATATTAGATATTATTGTATTTGCTTTTTCAGATATATCTAATGGGGTATCACTACCACTATTATAATCAACATCCATCTTCTTGAAAATAACTTGAAATTGAAGCAACTACGAACACAGTCAAACACGCGGCGTGCCAACAAACCGCTTCTATAGTAACGACACAGAAAGACCAGTGGATGTTGTGAACTTGTTTCTGAAGTATTGATAACATTGAAGGTGAAATGTATAGAAAAAAGAAGTATTATTTAATTATTTTGGAGTTATTTTTTTCGGTCAGGAAAAAGTTTTGAATACAATTTTACTGAAAACATTGAACAATATTTTCAAGACAAGAGTAGGGGAGACCGGGGCTACAATTAACAAAAAAATATATTTTTAGTTGTAGCTAATAGTCTAGTTCACATGTACTTTTTTTTCGTAACATTTTTCAGCCCCGTCCAAAAATCACGACCAAGGTGTCATTCGATTCGTATTTTTGCCTAGAAAGTTTAAGGAAAGGTCCGAAAACGCGCCGATAAAAATTACAAAAGTTATAAACAATTAAGTGAAACAAAAATTGGGCCTTAGTTTTATCTTAATATTTCGGAAAATTTTCAAAATTTTGAAAATTTTTCGAGATATTAAGAAAAAACTAAAGCCCCAATTTTTTTTACACTTAATTGTTTATAACTTTTGTGATTTTTATCGGCGCGTTTTCGGACCTTCCCTTAAATTTTCTAGGCAAAAATACGAATCGAATGACACCTTGGTCGTAATTTTTGGACAGGGCTGAAAAATGTCACCAAAACAGTGTCACAAAATCGAGTACATGTGAACCAGACTATAAGAAATAATTCAACATTTAGACTTGAGTTTTGAGATACATGATGCTAAAATCATTCAGGTATTACGTAATGATCTCAATACAAACTTAATAGTAACGATGCCGTAAATAGAACGCTTTTTCTCAAAAATGGTGGTTGTTAATTGTTACCTCAGGTTTGGGGCTAGAATTAACAGGTATGGGGCAAGTATTAACAGAAGGGGTAAAAATTAACATGGGTTATAGTGACTGATATAAAGAAAAATAAATGTATTTAGGACATATTATTTTATTAATGAAAGTGTAATTAATACAGCCTTGCATGGAACTCGTATTCTTATAAACTCACAGTAACAAAATCAGAAAATATCTGAACATAAACGAAATTTCGAAATACATTTGAATATTTCAACGTAACAGAGTAAAATCTTTCTAAAATAACTAATTATTAGTCTTAAACAGGATATATTTTTCATATTCAAACTTCATTAGACATACAGTGTCACCGATAAAGTCCGCATCAAATGGGAAACTTTTTTATTTATCGTTTTATGTGAAATTTGATTTTTGCAGTAGATTTTGCTTAAGAAATGATGTCAAATGGCGTCTACAAAATAGGTCACGTGATTTCCTTAACCTGTCAAAATTGACATTCAAAAAAAGAAACATCGAAAAATGACATTATTCTTCAAAATATCCAAAAATATCAAAGGATAAAAACATTTTCTTTTGTAATTTTATACCCACACACCAAGTTTCAAACCCATAATAAGTATTTTATATTTTCACTATTTTTCCGCACTCCTGCTTTTTCTACTTATCAAAATTTAAGCACACCTGTACTAAAT